AATGCTAAGTTTTGAAGGACCTTCAGAGAATCCCGACAGTGTAACGTAAAAGTTGAGTGTTTATTAAAAGCACATTTCCTCTTCATTTAGTTTTGAGAGAGTTTGTTCTATTGACAAGTTATTAAAAGTTCTTGTGATGATTCACCTTTCTGCTTTCATTGCTGACATGTCCACTAAAATTCTTTTTAAAAATCTCAGTTAGGACAGGGCACCAGGTCAGTGCTAGAAGATGTGTTTGCTGAAGTCTGTATTAATTGGAGTACAGCAGCAGTTAAAATTTTGGATGTGCCTAGAATATCTACTTTTTGATCTCACAGCTCAGTGTAGGTCTGCTCTGTTCACAGTTCACTGTTATGACATGTGGTGTGGTTAGCGTTTAAGAATATTTCATAGTTCTTTACCAAAGGACAAGGAAATACAGTTGCCCTACCAAATGGCTGGAAAGTTTCTCTGGACCTACAGTTATATCAGTACAACATTTTGTATGGTGCAGTGCAAACCAGGATGTAGCTAAGTATTGCTTCTTTCTGCAGTTTATAAAACAAAGTGTACTTTCTTTTCAAAGTGTTTGTTACCTAATTTGCCATCATAAGTGTCAAATTTGCAGATTTTGCATTTACAGCCAATTACAGTATTTTTTTCAGTAGTTAAATCTTTACAACATGGTTATGCTCTTCTAAATTAGAGTAAAAAAGAAAAATGAACTGCACTATTTTCCTCTGGGCAGGACCTGCAGTGATGTCACAGTGGCCAGAGGTACTCCACTCTTGAGTGCAGTAGCATATTTAAGCTTGTACAAGTTGTGAAAAAAAATTTAAATGAACAAAGAACATTGTACTTTTTAAGTTTTTATATCAGTATAATTTTATATTAGATGTACAACATATATATATAATGTAGTTGTGTAATCCAATGATTTTTATCTTATTCATGCACAATAGCTTGCATTCAATAAAGATACATTGTGATGTACTGTGATGAACTCTGTAGTAATTTCAGACAATGGGCATTCAATGTTTTTGTACTGATAATCAGTAAATGTGCTGAAATGTATTTTTATTTGTTCTGTTATGTCCCAGATTCTTCTGTGACATGTTGTTTACTTGTGAAATGAGAGAATTTTAAGTTTTTTGTATAATGCCAGTATAGGTCACAGATTAATTTGTCATCTTTATCCATAGTGCAAATACAGTGAACCCTACAAATGCAATACCGATTTTCCAGTGTAATTTGCCAATTATGTTTAATTGTTTTTGTGTACGGCTGTTTCAATTGTGAAATTTCCGATACCACGTGAATGCAGCAGAGAAACGTCATTCAGCCGGTGGCGCTTTATTGATGTTGCTGGGCGACCGTTTGTTTGGTGTGAACTACTTCACCTGCCTGAGAAAAAATAATTAGCGCTATTTAAACAAAATTTGAATTTACAGGTTAAAATACAGGGTTTTTTTTCGGGTGAATAAAATACAGTTAGTTTGATAATGGATGTTGAAACAGAAAGTATACCTCGGCTCGAACTGGAGGCTGTTATTGGCTTTAACGGTAAGTTTCCCCCCTGCAAACTTAAATTAGCTTAATGATACGACAGCTGAAAAGTCTGGAGTAACACGCTAAGTACTGTACACAGTGTTAGTTTTTTAATATTAAAAACATTTCACGGTCTTTAACATAGGTCTTTAACAGAAGTAAAAGCTGTAAAACTTTAAATTACAGTTAAAAGTCCAAAATTGATGTTCTCCTTGTTCCAGAGCTGTCTAGCGGGCTGAGTTCTCGTCCCCTTGTGTGATTTAGACTACCTTTGTTGTTAAGATTACATTTTGAACTTACATGTGTAGCTATGAAGATAGAGTGCACATTCCTGTTATTATTATCCAGCTTTTAAAACAACCATCCACCTTCATAATCACAAACAGATTGTCTGTTCAATGTACTCTGCTTTATTTCACCAGGACATGTTTCTTCTGGCCTAAGAGTCCATCCAGACAACGAGCACATGATCTACCCTCTTGGATGCGCAATCATTCTCAAGAGAATTAAAGATGGCAAACAGGAGTTCTTACATGGCCATACAAACAATGTAACCTGTATTTCAGTGTCAAAAAGTGGACTGTATATTGCCTCTGGACAGGTCAACTTTATGGGCTTTAAGGTAATCTTAGTCAGGAATGTTTGAATGTTTTTGTAACTACCTGGCAAATCTGCCATCAGATATTGGGTTAAATAATTTTGATGAATAAATTACAATATTCTACTTAATATGTTGTCCTAGGCTACAATAATAATCTGGGACTATGCGACCCGAACAATCTATACAGAGCTGGTGCTCCACAAGGCAAAGGTAGAGGCACTGGCCTTTTCTCCTAATGACAAGTACCTGGTGTCCCTTGGGGGTCAAGATGATGGCAGGTAAACATTATGGCTGGATGATGCAGCTGGGTGCAAGTTCAGATAATAAGATTGCAAAATGGAAATACACATTGCCTTGCACAGTAATTGTCTAATTGCCAACATAGCACACTATATTTCATTGAGCAATGATCATGCCACATTTGTTTTACTGTTTAACAAGCCAGGCACAAGGTTCTTGTAGAACACAGGAAGTTGTACAGTCAGAATACATCCAGGCTAGTAAGGTACTGGAAAGGAAAGCAAAAGTCCTTTGCTATTGTGACTCCCTAATAAACCAGAATAACCTAAGCTGGGCCAGTCTTTAGATTTAAAGATGCTTGTTATAAGATTGCACATGGTTCAGCTCTTCCCCTTATTTGTGTTTTATGAAGCAGGAAGCAACAAATGACAAACACCCTGCATTTGTTGCCAGAGGGGACGTATTGAACTTGTGAAGTAGACTCCATTTGGATAGTTAGCTTTCAGTGACTGAAGCTCATACATTGTAGATCCGTTAAGACTTAGCAGACACAGTGGCACATATTATTTTTTATTAAATATGATATAAGAATCATGATTTAAAGACAGTCCAGTATGAGGTCAAGCTGTGAAGTCTGTTTTATTATATATACTGGTTTGTCGTTCCTGGTTTAATAGATTTCATGTGTCTTGAGGTGAGAGCCAAATGTCTACACTAGTACATTTACTGAAATGTGTGTTGACGTGCAATGTCCATGAATACTCATGGTATGGCCTTTAATTATCTTTATCTGCACAAAAAGGGGTACATCAATTTCTAGATGGCCTATCAAATGTACTGTACTAATGATCTTTTGTGTTTGTTTACAGTATAGTTGTGTGGAATATTGAGACTAAGCAAGCTATATGTGGGAGCCCAGCTTCAGCGCAGAGTGCTGGTCACTCCCTGATTTTGCAATACTCAAACACAAATGACAACATCTTTGTGTCAGCAGGGAGGTGAGTGAATGGTGTCTACTATTTTTTCTTTTCTGTGTTTTTTTTTTTAAAACCAAGCTAAATGTCACATTAGATTTTTAATTTGTAATTGTTAGGTTATCTGTGAATTAGATTTTATTGAACCTGCTTATAAAATGACAAGGCATCTACCTATTGCTTTTTTTCTGCATACCTAGCTTCACAATGTGGGTTTTCACGCTCCTTGTTATTGCATAAAAGTGATTTAATATCACTGGTCTTCTTTGGGCAGTGGAACATTGCGAGTTTGGGAACTGGACCTCCCCAACAGAAAGATCAGGCCCACAGAGTGTCAGACAGGCAAGCTCAAGAGGACTGTGAAATGCTTAGAGGTATGAAGCCATATGCAAACCATCTGCAGGCAGAAACTTAACAAATCAATAAAACACTAATAGTATGGCTGCAGAAGGTGCATAAGAATACTAATAGTGAAACTCAACTTTTTTAATCTTCCAAACTTATAGCACACCAGATATAGTGAAATAATGTGGTTGCACTATCAATATTGCTGTACAGATTTCAGAGGATGATCAGGTCATTTTCTGCGGCACCATGAGTGGAGACATAATGAAAGTTAACCTGAAGACAAAGCTTCTGAATCACTGCGGTCCAGCTAAATCAAAATACAGCATGGTAAGTCATCACTGTAGAGGTCATTCATTGCATTCCTTATTGGGTGCTTTGAATTCAGTCATTCAGCCACTCCTTACTCATGCCCTGTGCTTAATAGGAATCCTTGTGGAAGGAAAAGCCATGGTTCATGTCACATAGTTAAAAATTTCTTAAGTTTTGAGAAGCTGTCAATGATCTAGGAATTTTAAAAAGTGATATATTCAAATATGCATAATTGTTTTAGAAAAATGTAATGAAAATCATAGTTTCATCCTTTTCTTTGCAGGGTGTCAATGTCATAAAGATACTGAAGTCTGGGGACCTACTTGTAGGCTGTGGATCTGGCACTGTCACTTTGTCTTCTGGGACTAACTTCAAAACTCTTAAGTGAGTTCTATGACTGAATTATTTCACTATAAAATATCCCTAGTGTGCATAATTGTTACCTTTGAATTTTCTATATTTTCAGCATTCAAATGCTTTAGTTTGTTTTTGCATTTTTGTACTTTTTTCCTTTACTTCACATCAGGAAAGTCGATCTGGAAAAGGCAGTAACCTCCATTGCTACATTAGGAGATGGAAATGAGTTTTTTGTTGGCACAGAGGCTGCTCAGATGTATCGCTTCAGTTATGAGAATTTCAAAGTGGAACTCATATCCACCAGCCATAATGATGCTGTCAAGGACGTAGCCATCTTGTTGTAAGTGTCAGAAAAGAGAATTTAAATAGTGTTCTGCAATAAAACATAAATGCCCTGATAAAGAGAATTGATCAGAAAACAGTCAGTCTGTTCCTTTTTCTCCTTCACCATGCCCCTCAGAAACACACATTTTCTCTTGTACCCAGAAATGCAAGAAAATAAACATTATGTTATGTGTCAAATGCAGCAAAGCAAAACCACAATGCTTAAACTGTGCTGAAATTGTTTCTGATTCATTACTTTATTTACCTGTTGTGCTCACTAGAGGGTGACATATACATGCCACATGTCCACATATTCTGAGGAAATGTTATTGGTTTTATGTATGTGTCTAAGACCTGAGTAAAATATTACTTTTAATTAATTATTTACATAATTATATTAACAACCCTTACCACACAACTATAATTCTCTATTTTTCCTCACATTTTTCCACTAGTGGAACATCTGAACTATTTGCAACCTGCTCAGATGAAGATATCAGAGTGTGGTACACAGGCAAGCCTAAAGAGCTGTTGCGCATCACTATACCCAATGTGACCTGCAATTCAGTGGACTTCATGTTTAATGGACAAAGCATCATCAGTGGTAGGACTCAGAGAGCGATTTCTGTAACAATTAATTTTCTGTTTTGAAATATGTTTTGAATAGGTGATAACGAGCCATCTCAATTACAGTAGCGCAGAAATCTGAAATATAAAAGTAAAGTTTCTTTTCACTTACTGAAAAGTTCTGTTTCTTGTGCAGAATCAGATTAATCTCTAGCTGTCATTGTCTTCTAGCATGGAATGATGGTAAGATTCGTCTGTTTGGACCAGAAAGTGGAAAACTCATGCTCACCATTCACAATGCACACACAATGGGTGCAACGGCCATTGCTGGCACAAGGGATTGCAAAAGGATTGTCAGTGGAGGGGGAGAAGGACAGGTCAGTGGAAATAATATCAATGAACCTATAATTTGTTCACTATTAGATATATATTATTATTTAATTTATATTTTAATATTAAAGTCTTGAGCCGCTTCTCATTTCTTGGCTTTATGCTTCTAAGGAGCCAGATGTTCTTATAAGTTTTAAAATAGTTCAGCAATATTTCCAGAGACTTTCTGAAGATCTTTAAAAAAAAAATTTCTTCTTTTTTGTTAATTTTCAGTCTAGTCTGTTGAGAACTGTTCAGTCTATTTTCAGAAGAATGTTTTTAGTTTTTACATTGACTCATAAACATAAAACGGCACTTAAATCACAGAATAAACCAGTGTTGTGTTTACATACAACACAGAACTTAGCAAAAATCCAGTTTTATATTCTCCCTTTAGCACTTTATTACTAGCAACTTGTCACAAAAACACTCAAAATGATCCTTTTTCTTTGGTTGAATCAACACAAATTCCAAAGATAACACAGTTTGTCAGGCATAAAACTGTATTTTTGCACCAACAAGGTGATTCTAAAAGAGCTATTAGCTATAAACATATCTGTTCATTGTGTCCTTAAAAATTTGAGGAAACTGAACAAGTAGACAGAAGTTGTAGGCATGAAAACTATCTATAGTAGATGTAGTCATGTCCTTAAGAAATAGGAAAAATCTATCAAAGAACTGAGACAGGATCCGAGAGATACATTTTACATTTACACCCTTAGCTGATTCATCTGCTTTTTCCATAAGCCTCATCAGAACTAGTCTCAATGGTAAAAAAAAAAAAAGGTAAATGGCCTGTATTTGTATAGCGCTTTACTAGTCCCTAAGGACCCCAAAGTGCTTTACACATCCAGTCATCCACCCATTCACACACTGGTGATAGCCACAGCCACCCTGGGGCGCACTGACAGAGGCGAGGCTGCCAGACACTGGCACCACCAGTAGGCAACGGGTGAAGTGTCTTGCCCAAGTACACAACGATCGAGACTGTCCAAGGGGCTCGAACCGGCAACCTTCCGATTACAAGGCGAACTCCCAACTCTTGAACCACGATCGCCCACAATGGAAGGGTAATGGTCAAGAATCCATTCTCAAGGATGGCAAAAGCTAAAAAACAAACAAACAATGAGGTATGCCAAATTACACAGGTCTTATCGAGTTTAAAATCAAAATTAGATAATTTTTTTGTTTCAAATCCTCATTAATATCAACAGTAATATGTACTTGTAAAACTGAGGTAATTATAAATGCAAAAAAGTATGATCAGATTTTGATAGACCATGCATTACTGACTGAAAAGTGTCAGCAAGGGCTTCATTTATCAACATGGCAATGATTCCAAAGATACTACAGTGATACTACCTGGATAGTCAAACACACTATGAAACATTGTCAGGCATGGATAGGCATCCTCAGAGCCAGGACCTCAACAACAATGTGAGTTCACATGAACGGAATGGAGCAAAAGGCAGCCGACATCCAAAGAAGAGCTTGGAATGTCATTCAAGAAGCCTGGAGAACTATTCCTGAAGATTACAAAGAACTTACAAGAAAGCTTGCCTACAAGAGTTCAGGTGGTGTTGAAGAATAAGGTCCCAAATACAGACTTTCAAGCTTGTCAGAATTGTACAAACTCTGTTTTGTCCATTTATGTTTGCATGTTTCAATAAATCACATCACAGATTTTCCGTTTTCCTAGCAAAATTAAAAAAAAAAATCTTGGGCAGCTTGAGACTTTGGCACAATTTCTCACAGTATATCATCAACAAGAATTATGAAATGGACATGAAATGGCTATCCTGCCTGATAATTGAGCTTTAGTTGTAGTCCATATCCTGCCATAACTATTTTCAGACTTTCCCAAAACATTTTTTTGTTATTGATTTGGGAATGCCTACTGAACATGACAAAACTGATTTAAAGATAAGAATGTTTGCATCTCATGTCTAGTCATATAATTAGAATTGCTAATTTTTCTCCAAGACAAGCAGCTGTGAGTTATTCCAGTGCTTAGTGCAAATATTGGAGGATTTTATGCATGCTTTATATTGGTTATACAGACACACCATACTAGACTGTGCACCCTTCAAATACACATTCAGCATTTAAATTTGGGGTTTATCTCTACAGCATGCAATATCATTGAAGACTGACATGATTTCAAAAGAACAGAAGACATACTGTTGAAGATGTCTTTAATGAAAATTGAAAATTGTTGCATCCATAGCATATTTGTATGTTTATAAATAAAGTTAAATATAGTTTCCCTAATGAATGATTTTGGGTTTAACTATCATAGGTGTGTGTTTGGGAGCTGAAACCACGTAGCTATCGGTTGCTGGAGGCCATGAAACAGCACAAAGCTGCTGTCACTTGTCTCAAAATCAAGAGTGACGACACAGAGTGTGTCTCTGCAAGCTCTGACGGTACCTGCATCATCTGGGACATAGTGTGAGTAGCCTATCTGCAAACCATAACCCACACATTGTGTCCATGTAACATCTTTAAAGTGTTTAATATTGTAATATTAGTGTATGAAGTATTATTTATCTATGAAATGTTGTGTTTAGTAGTACAACAAAATGCCAAAAATTACTGCAGAGCCACTTCACTAAGTCAAAATTGTAATAATTATTTCTCAGTTTCATCAAAGAAAAATGATGAGAGCAAGTGAAGTGAAAATAAAGTAGTTAGGCACATTACTGAATGAGCTAATCACATTGTTCTGTGAAAAGTAATGTACATATTTGGTAATAATATGTATAGCCACCAGAGACAAAGTGAGAAGAAAGAAGAGCACTGTCTTCATGTCTGACTTGTCATAAGAGAGAAATGGTGAAGTGGATGTGTGGCTCATACAGTGAGATAAAAAAGAAATCCAGTTCTTTATAAGCGAGCTTAAAATCCTTTAATCTGTGAGCTTCTTCTGGGAGTACAATAAGCTGTTGAAAACTGACTATGGTCATTTTTTTCATTGTCTGTCCTCTTCATGAACGAGTCTGTGGATTAAAGGCTTCTAGGCAGTACCCATACAATTATCATGGATTCTCTTTGTAGTATGACTACTAACAGGTTATTTAAATGGATTAGTAGAAAAGTCTCAATTAATTTAGACTGACACCCTGTCTGCACAAGAGAAAATATGTGCACTTCAGAACATTTGTATATACAGATTGTTTTGAGATTTATGATTTTTTTGTTTAAAATTTGAACAGACACGACAGTCTGGTCATGGTGTGAAGACACATACACCTCATATGAGTTATTTTTTGCCCAGTCTATTGCAACACCTGTCAAACTCATCTTCCTTCCCGTCATTTCTTGTCTTTTGTCTCTTGTATAATCTTTTATAGGCGATTCGTAGTTCGTCAAATGATGATTGCCAACACACTGTTCCGGACTGTGTGCTACCATCCAGAGGAATTTCAGATCATCACCAGTGGCACTGACAGAAAGGTGTGTTTTGGGATTAAGAATCTTTTTTTTTTCTTGTTGCTAAGTGCATTTCTGTATTTTTATTGGCATTCTAGCAGGCAGTAATTTAAACACAAATCTTTCACTTGATTTATCTTTAAGCCAGTTTTTTATGGTGGCCTCAGAGGTATGTATAGTCAGGATTTGTTAATGATCATTTTGCTAAAACTTCTTTAGTCAGAATTTGCTTAATTCTGACAAAAATGTTTTAGTGTAGCTGCCCCTGTAGTAAGAACCAAGAAAGTGTGGTTTATGAGTTTGTTTTCACACAAAAAGATGGATACAAAAATGTTCATGCCAAAAATGCTGACCATAATTAATTTGATTGCATGTAGAATTTACAGTATAGAGAAGTGCAATACAAAAATACATTTAATGGAATCTGTTCAATTGGAAATGACAATTTAAAGAAGTCTCATGAAATGAAATTTACTTCATTGTTATACATTCAGTTTATACCAAGCATATGTCATTTAATGATTATTTATTTAAATAAGTAAACCTTTGATTTAAAAAATTCCCCTCGAGCTTGTGGGTCCTGTGCAGTCTCTTAGCTGTTCCTAGGACTGCGCTCTTCTGGACAGAGATCTCGGATATTGTTCCTGGGAGCTGCTGGAGACACTTGCTTTGGCTGCATCTAGCGCTTCGATTACCACGGGGCCACTGTTACCTTCACCCTCCACATCTTCTTCAGCTCTTCTCTGCGCCCTTTGTACTTCTCCAGTTTCTTGTGATCCTTCTTGCTGATGTTGCTGTCATTCGGTATTGCTACGTCTATCACTACGACTGACTTCCTCTGCTTGTCCACCACTACTATATGGGGTTGGTTAACCACCAACATTTTGTCCTACTGTATCTGGAAGTCCCATGGGATCTTAGCTCGGTCATTCTCGACCATCGTACGGGGTGTCTCCCACTATGCCCTTGAGACTTCCGGTCCATACTCAGCACAGATGTTTCTGTATATTATGCCGGCCACTTGGATATGGCGTACCATGTATGATGTATGTATGATCCACACCGTTCTTGGTGTAGATCAGCCGGTTAGTCTCTGTAACTGTCACGGTAGGTATCGTCCATGGTGCTACATTAGCATCATCAGTAGATCTCACTTCACTTAGTCTTGGTATCTGGCTATGGGGGCTCCAGGTTTCAAGCTTTGGCATGATCGTGTTGACGACGAAGTTTTCTGGGAGAAAATGTGAGTGATGTTTGACAGGTAGAACATGTGATGTGTTAGCATGGACAGCTTTGATCTTTACAGTTTAGAAGAGATGGTGCCAGTTCATTTTCTTTGCTTCAAGAGCTGGTGGAAGCTCCTCTGGAGTTTAGTCTTGTTTGCTCCTGTTTTAGCATTTCAGAGTGTGGGTTCCAGTTGGTGCTGGTGATGATAAAAGTCATTGTCTGTCTGTTGGCATTGTGTCTTCCCCAGTTGGGCTCAGAGAAAACTTATGGCTGCTCTGACTCACTACACCATGCACTGGTACAAATAAGTATTGCTCTACAGTTTGGCTTCTTTTCTGAAAATGAATAAAATAATTCAGAGCCAATTCCAAATATCCAGTGCCCAGAGATCACACTGTGAATATCACACTGTAACACCATTGTTTTTTCATAATCTGTTGATAACATAGCTGTAAACTGTTGCAATTCACAGTGAGTCTATAATAACTACTTTTTGTTGTTTACTGTAGTCCATGTACTCCATATATTTTCCCTCAGACTTAATACTCAGCTGTCTAGCTTAAAGGAGAAAAAGGTAATCATTATAATGATAAAAAAACAAAACAGGATGCAAATAGACTGTCACTAAACAGTCACAGTGTAGAGTCCTCATTATGTTGTTATGGTTATTGAAATCTCCACTTAATGAGAATGACAGAAAAATCTGCAGCTTTACTAAGATCAGCAAAGAGTAGCACAATGAAAGCTTGTACAATCATACTCGTGTGCATTTCTGCAGATTAGCTTGAACGCTTCTAATTTGTTTCTTAGCTCAGTATACAGTAATTAAGCCATTGTGCCGGCTGCTAATCACTGGTGCAAAAACACACCCTTTGACTCCACAATTTTTTTTTATAATCTTGATTAACCAAGTACTTCTTATTTACATAAGCTTGGACCTTTACTGCTGCAGAATGAAACACTTTTTTCCTTGATTGTGCAATTTATCCACACCCCTTGAACCCGGCTACACACTGGACCCATATTGCTGCCGTCCCCGCATGCTGAGAGGTGAGGACAAGTTGTGCTGATTAACACAGCGCGGTGGGTGTGCTGAGCGAGCGGAGAGAAAGTGGGAAGGAGGCATTCAAAGAGAGCGAGAAAGAGGAGCGATAGAGGGGAGCGCTGTGGTGTTCGTGCCTTCCTGCGGATGTGCCTATGCCACCCAAGTGCCAGCCAGATCCACCATCTGCTCATCCCAGGACACAGGCACTCTGTCTGGTTCAACAAACAGCAATGCTCTCTCTCTCTCCTCTCTCTCCTCTCTGTACTCCAAGCCTTCTTCACCTCCCAGCATGACTCTATGAGTAAATTCACAGGATGCAAACCAGCATGTGAGAAAAAATGTGAAGAGAAAGAGAGTGGCCAGGAGGGGTGGGGGGATGACGGTGTAGGGTCAGGGAGCAGTTGTATTAATGAGATGCTTTGTGATCAGGATGTTGCTGGCAATGATAATGATGCGTTTGTTTTTTGGTGTAGTAAGTATATGATGCTTACTTCGTCTTTTCAAGGTAAGGATACGGGATTATAGCTGAAACCAGTTGGACTACATTATTTCTGCTAAAATGGAGGCATTAATTAGCCTTGATAGTAATTAATTACTAGCTCATAATAACCTTAGGTAACTGTGCATATTTTCTATAAGCTAAAGCTTCTAACCTTCTGTGTAGCCCAGGCAACTATACACTGCTTATAGCCTGAGATTTGTCCTTATAAGTGGAGCAGTCCTAAGAGTATGTTTTTCAGACCTGCTCTCACTTACTGCACGTAATTAATTTCCTGGTTGCCCATGTCATGGCTGTGAGCCAGTTTCCCAGACCGAGGCTGAGGGATCGCAGATGGGCCAAGACAACTCACACAGGTGGAAGCCTCTAATAAGCTGCTGAAATGAGATGAGAAAGGTGGAAGGGGTCGTGACTGTGGCGGTGAGGAAGGGATGGACAATGATCTAAGAGAGAAGAAGAGAGGGGAACATTGTTACAGTAACTTTTATCGTGGCTATGCGAATAGTAAACTATTTAATTTCACCATTAACTTCTTTTTATTAATCATAGAGCAATGATTAATTTAAGGCGCTGATTTGTTTGAAAAGACATCTCACTAAATATGTTATCGATTAATGCAGGCCTTAGCTGAGAAGTGAGTATTGTTTTGTTCAGATTTAAGACTTACATTCTGATTTGGTTACATTAGGAAGATTTGGTTTCTATTTATTTCTCTATATTAGTTTTCATTCCATGTAAGCACAATATTCAATATGTGTGAAAGATTACATATCCCTTATTATTTGCCTTCCTATTAGGCATAATGGGCAAAAAATGAAATTCTGTTCTCATAAGCATCGGGCTCTGTGTGAACAGCCTTGTTTAACATGACCTTTACAAATAGCTAATTGTGGTAACTCCATCTCCTTCTCTCAACTCCTTATTGACTTTGAAATGCAGTGTGTTTAGCATCAGTGTTTTGAGTGCTTTACTGCTTTCTAAACAGCTTCTTGACTTTTAAAATCACATAGGGTGAACTGTTAAATCTTCTACTAGGAACTCATTCATGACTGAAGCCTAATTTTAATGATCAAGTCCATCTGGGCTTTCATTTACTCCACCCAAGAAGTAATCAGGTCGGTCATATAAATAACAAGAAAGGATTGTTCTCGCTCTGTGGTTTTTTGATGCTTCTGCCACCTGGGCTATAAATAACTTCAACTAACAATCGCCTTTTGTGAGACTTGATACTCTGATGGCTGTTAAGCCCTAGAGATGTTCAAAACTCATTTAGATATATGATAGAATCAAACCAGCTCATTTTCATATAGAGTTAAAACGAGAAAGCAGTGAAGGTGAGAGTCTGAGGTCACCTATTGCGTACTACTACCAAAATAGGAAGTGGTAAAGTGTATACTGTATATAATGTTGAATAAAAATAGCACAAAAGCACAGAGATGTTTTCACTTGATCTCATTAGTAGCAGTCTGCATAGCAAGCCTATCAATCCTTAGTAACAAACAAAAAAACTTCAGAGTATAAATGTGTAACCTTCATCTCCACTTAGACTTTCTGTGCATTGTGTACATTTTGTCCCTCAGGTTGCCTACTGGGACGTGTTTGAGGGTAAATCTGCCCTCAGACAACTTGAGGCTTCGCAGTCTGGTGCCATCAATGGCATGCATATCTCACAGGATGGCAAATACTTTGTGACAGGTATGGCACATTACTCATTTGCACTTCTTCTTCTTCCATGCTACTCATATATAGATAGCAATTTTATATTTGTCCCTGCTGCCTTGCCCGTTATGCTCCCGTTTAGATCAAAACCTAATTGAATATTTTATGCAAATATAGTTTTCATGTGTTTTATATAAGGAACAGTATTGCACAATAATTAGTGATATTTCCCTAGAGCTTCTGGTTTCTTATGTTGTTCACCTTTTCATACCAGGTGGAGATGATAAGCTGGTGAAAGTGTGGGACTACATGTTAGGTGGAGTAACCCACGTAGGGGTAGGTCATGGTGGCAGTATTACCAGCATGAAAATCTGCTCCAACAGCCGCAACTTAGTCAGTACAAGTGCAGATGGAGCCATTCTTTGCTGGAAGTTCCCTCATGTTCCTTCCTCTTAACTGGAGATTTGGACACGGGAAGAAACACAAACTTTTAGCCATCCAGACATTCTTTTTTGAGTTTTCCAAAAATGTACAAAATGTTACTATTATATTGTTTTAGCAATATGGACTTACATTCTTACCAAAATAAATACATGTAACCTCATGAAGCAACAATTGCTGTATAAGATGTTTTTGCTCACTGATGCATAGTAAATGTAGTGGGGTGGGGTTTTTTTTGCATGGTTTTGTTGATTTTTAAATGGGTAATATTTGTCCATCAATTTAAAAAAAAAAGTGAATTAAAGCATTAATAAATCCTTTCTCTTTTTTTGCTCTTTTGAAATTCTATTAAAAATCAAAATCTTCATTTTGAAAAGTATTCAGAGCCTTTGCAGTGACAGTCATCCTGTTTGATTTTTGAGCCTCGAGATGTGTAGAATGTAATAGCCACACATCGGTTGTTAATCATTTAAAGCTACATGTTCTGGTGTAAACACACATAGAAAGTTCACAATGTCATTGCGAATAGGGCAAGAGGATGAATCGGTTTCTAAATATGGCTTCAATGTCTGTGAAATACAAAAAGTAAAATACACAAAACATCTGAGTGCTAGAGTTTACCAAACTGAGAATACCAAAGTGCGTTGGTCAAGAATGTGACCAAGGATGACGTTCTGGTAGGTGACCGGCCTTCATGGTAGAGGTATTATCCAGAAGCCAGTCGGCTGGTTATTACCATCACTAGAGTGAAGCATGGGGATGGCAGCATCATGGTACTGGGGTGTCCCTCAGGGAGACTGGTCTGGTCTTAAAGAAAACCAGCTTTGACCTGAGAATGGGTGACAGATAACTTTTCAGCACCATAGTGAACTGAAGCATTGAGAAAAGAAAATGCTAAAGTGGATCAACTGCAGCTAAACCATAAACCACTGTTTAAATCTAAGATGTAAAGATGACACATCAAAGGTTTATTCTCTGAGGGGTTATGGTAAAAGAGTGGTGCAATGTACAATTCTAATTCACTACTACTTTCTGCAAAAAAAACCAACATTGTTATATAAACCATCCATCTGTCCAATTTCTACCTCTTATCGAATTCAGGAGGATTGGGGCCTATCCCAACTGTCATGAGACAAGAGGTGGTGTAAACCAGGACAGGTTACCAGTCTGTGGCAGGTCAGCAAAAATAATAAAAAAATTAAATAAAATCCCTGCTCATTAAGCTTGGGCATATTTCCTTGCACTGTCGTTTAGCACAATGATAATGAACAGAGGATTGCTGTAAAACATGGGTCATCTTCATAACACAGACACAGAATGACACGGTTTGCCTCGGAATTTGTTAATTTGTTATGCTCATGTAACATGTGTTCATTTTTCTAACAATGCTCAAGAGCATTGGGAAAATTACGGGAATATTGGATGGAGACCTGACTTTTTCTTTTAATAAATCAGAACATCTGGTCCACCAAATTCAATCTTTAGTACTGGTGAGCTGTGAAATTAAGCTTCAGATGAGAATCTGAATATTGCAAACAAGATGCTGGATTCCCATTGAAAAGCAGAACTGCATGTAATGTATCTGGCAAAAACAATTTTAACATACATTTTACTAACTTTGTCGAGCTTTCATGAGCAGCAGCATTAATGTGCATGCAGACAGTTGCCAGACTTGGCTACACCTGTCTGCAAGTGACGATGTCTTAGGTATTTGATTAGCAGGATGAAGAAAATGTTGACCATGTATGCATGGCAATATGAAGGGTAGATGTCAGTATCTATACTTTGATAACCTTGGTTTTTATACCCTCACTGGCCACTACTAATACAATAGTAGTATCGCCCCTTTTGGATCCCCTTTGCCTTCAGAACCGCCATAACTTAACTCATGCTTAACTTGTTGGAAACATTCCTCAGAGGTTTTGGTCCATATTGACATGATAGGATCACACAATTGCTGTAGATTTGTTAGCTGCAAATCAGTTGTGAGTCTTCTGTTCCACTCCCAAAGCTGCTCTATTACATTGAAACCCTGTAAAATCATTGTTCAAGAAACCAGATTCAGGTAAACTTAGTTTTTATGAAATGGTCCATGTAATAAGCAGGAGAAAATGGGTGGATGGGATGAACATGACATATCACCCAGCTGCCTTCTATTGTCCAAATTTGGTGAACCTGTGTGAACTGTCGCATTGGTTTTCTGCCTGTTTCTTGGCTAATAGGAGTGGCACAGGGTGTGGTCTTCTCTTTCCCATTCTGATGCTCAGTTCGAACCATCACTGGTCATTTTGACCATGTCTGCATTCCTAAATCCACTGGGTTGGTATCATAATTGGTTGATTAGACATGCTATTGGCTTTCACAAACAGGTGTCTGTCAGAGCAAATAGCACAGGTGTACCAGGTCTACCTATGTGGACAGGCTCTTCAGCAGAAATAGCAATTTCTGAATGTGTGTGTGTGAGAAGTGCTTGGATGAATGGGTTGTTTAAAGCACTTTGAATGCTCAAGCAGACTGGAAAATGCTCAATAAGAACTAGTCCATTTACCATTATACTGGAAACTTATTTTTTAGTTGTTCTCTGAGCAGTTTATAAGTAGTCTATAATTTAGTTTGGTATTGTGGATGGTGCTGCTTTCTCTGACACCCTCAGCAGATGTTTTGGCAGGTGATGTTAGAACTGGTCCTACAGGGGGCAGATTCACACTGCTGTACCTGTCACCTATTAAAGACGACAACTTCCTTGTTCAGAGTGAAATAAAGTAGATATGCCTAGTTGAATTGCCTGTCATCCACCCGTTGCGAATGACTTAACCACATACATATTTGTGTTGGTAGCCTACAGTCTAATTCAGGTTAATTAAATTCTTGCCTGTGAGGCGGGCAGTTAAACAGGATCCTTGGCAATTCAATGAGACCCTACAGACAGGAGAAGAGGGAAGAACAGGGGTGGTGAGAGAGAGAGTCAAAGACCGCCAGGCGCACGATCCAGCGCTGAGAGCCATCGACGAGGAAGTATAAATGAACCTGCGATGTGGAAGAAGGAGAGCCGCTCGTCTCTGTAGCTCCTGCAGAGATAGATCGTCACCCGACAAAACGCGCGCACCGAGATGTCGATGGGATAATATCAGCAATAATGTGCCTTATTGGCTTCGCGGCAGTGAGGTTTGTGGAGAGAAGTGAGACGGGGGAGGAGGAGGGGTAGACAGCCTGGCAGACAGGTGCGCGTTGATAGTCTGTTTCATTTTCTCTCGGTCCGTTTAAGTGATAGAGCCATGGATACCCGTAAGGAAAGCAAGGTAAGAAGACAACCCATGAAACCCAAAACGACGAAGCCAAAGGAGAAGAAATACAAATCTGGTAGGTTTACTAGACGGAAATCGCTTCGATCTTTTGGGAATTTCATGGGAAGGATCCTTAAAACTTTGGGCACTTTAGCGCACTTTGGCGACGCGGAACAGCAGGACGCAGAAGACGACGACGGCGGTTTCGGGCAAAGCGCGTCGGGTGGTTTTAAAGATAACTGTTCGCAGATCTCCAGGGAAGGAACCGTAAAGAAGAGCTCCACGGTTTCGTCCATTCACGGCTCGGTGAAAGACAGGCTGTCGTGGTGCTACGGCGACAAGACCCCGGGAGTGCTGGGACTGAAGAACCACGGCAACACCTGTTTCATGAACGCCGTGGTTCAGTGCCTCAGCAACACGGACCTGCTCGCCGAATACCTCGGGTTGGAGCAGTATAAGTCGGATATTTGCCTCCAGAGGGTTAACGGGGAGGTGAGAGGAGCGGAGTCGCAGACCGCCAGGGGAGAGGTGACAGAGCAGCTGGCGTCGCTGGTTCGAGCGCTTTGGACACTGGAGTACACGCCGCAGCTGTCTGTGGAGTTCAAGGTAAGGATGGAGACGATTCACCTGAACTGAACAAGCTTAGGCTTCCCCCATTGAGGAGAGCTGGCGTGATTTTTCTGTTTTCTATAAAGAGAGTTGTTCTCAAACAGGTACTCCGGTGTCAACTAGAAACAAATACTCTCCACCCGGTGGGCATGTTATTCATCTTGATTGGTTAAACTAATTGCAAGTGGCCCCGAAACCCAAAAGTCTGCTGCTAACTGTGCCAGTGTTGTTGCTGCTATTTGATTAACTGCTCACTGGCAGAGAGAGTGCTCAAACTCAAGCACAATGAAACCACAATTACAGGACCTTAGGGCGTTTTAAATCATATTAATACACTTAACTAGAAGCCACATAGTTTTCTCCTATTGCACTGACAGTGTTTGTGGGCCAAATCAGTGCCGATTGATCGTGCTGCACTCAGCTGAGGGAGACAAGGTACAGAGATATAACACACTGAAAGCTAGAAGAGGATCAGCAGGGGCCATGATTACTCACTCTCGTGAAGTTTGTGCCACAGGCTCCTCTGGTAGGTCACCTCGGCCATGAAAAAAAAAGAGATCATATTTATAAGCTACACTTTTTATTCACATTCATCTCTTACTTTCTTCACATTTAGTGCCACAAGCTGCATGTCATACCAAAGTTGCCTCCCAAAAAGCGATCGCCTGTCAAAAAGTTTAAAAATACTTCTTAAAACTTTTTAGAAGTTGCCAAAAAATGTCTGGATTGATTATAATAAAGAACACAGAGTCATAAAGATACTTACACAACAAACTCTTTGTAAATTATGTTGACTACAGTCCAGTCCATTTATTAATATAAGCTAAAGACATGAAAAAAAAATCATGAGCACAATTAAGAAACGAGGGTAAATATTTGGATAAAAATTTAAAGGTGTGAGCTTGAATATGGTCAGAGGTCAGTGGTAAACCTTTCTGTCCCAGGCAGTAATAATAAAACAACCTCAAGACCTCATGGTTTCGACATTTTATGATATTGTTTGTTGAAGTAGTTGCAGTTCGGTAACCATGTGGTTACTGATTACACGTAGGCTGTGTTATCTCTGCTTGGCTTACCTGTTCCTACACTTCAGGTGGTTTGTCTGCATTCCCAGAGTTGTGAGAGAAGACACGCGGTCTTGACTCACAAACACAAAGTGTTCAATGCAGAGGATGGTTCATTAGGGGCTGCTTCATAACTGAAGCTTTACCTCTTCAATTTAAGGATGTTCAAAACAACAAGTGATCAAACACTTACACACAAGAGGCTTCTTGCTCCTGTTACTCATTGCAGTTGTAACTGGGAGCTGTAGAGGCTTAGACTTCTCTCAGGAGTGGTTGGATGGTAGCCAATCAGCGGGATTACTTAGAAAAAAAAACCAAAAACAAAAAACTGCTCTGATATATCAGTAGCACAGGGAAACTATGAGTGATTAGGTATGTAATACACAGACACATACAGACGCACACACATATGTGATCACACAGGCACACATTACTATTACTATTCCTAATTATTTTATTTAATCCTTTATTATTATTATTATTATTATTATTATTATTAGCAGTAATTTAAGTCACATGTATTATTCATTTCTAATTGGTTTAATGCTGCTCTTGTTTTAATGAATTGTTTTATATCTTTTATATCTATATATTTTATCATTGTTTTAATCATGTGCATTATTTTTGTGGTGTTTTAATCACAATGCTTAACGATTGTGTTTCATATTTTAGCTTTACGCTAATTTCTGCCTGCAGTCTCTGTGGTTGCTCACATCTAATGCTGCTCATTGCACTTCCACCTTGAATTAAATCTGCTTTATAAGCAATGTTCTACTAGCTAACTTGGGTGTGAGCATGCTGAAGCTGTGAGAAAAGGTCATGATTCAAGTAGAAGAAAAACTTGATGGTGTTTCAGTCCAAGAAATATAAAGGGTAGCTGGTTATGATATTATTACTGAAGAGCGTCTGCACGAACGGGAGATCAACTCCTGCTTTGGGAAACTAATGTAGCCTGAGTCTTTTAAAACAGTCAAAAGTCTGATACGTGAAGATAGTATGCGCAACATCATAAAGATCATTTGGATCTAGATAACAGGCCTTGCATAAAGAAATTCGTACAGTAAACACTTAATATATTGATCTCTATTGAACTGACTCTTTATGGAGTTTACGTGCTCCCTCTGATACTACAGCTTCCACACAGTCTAAAGACTTGTTAGGTTAATTGTTGTAGATTGTAGGTGTAGATGAGAAAACACATGGTTGTGTACTCTGTGTGTTAGCCTTCCCACATGGAAAAGATATATAAAAATCTTATAAAGTTTGTATCTGTCTTGTGTGAAACTTGTATGAAAAGCATACAAGAGTGAAAACAGATATAAGATCCCTTGAAAAATTCACGAGTAAATCATATAAGCCTTATATGATTCACTATATGAAGTAGGCCACATCTGATGCAAGTCTTTTATAAGTTTTTTCTATTTCTTTTCCATATATGGTTGTGTTGTGGGTTGTGTTGTGGGTTGTGTTGGACAGTCTAGGATGTAAGACGAGTGGAATAGACCCCAGGTTGGGTAAGCGGGAAGAAAATAGAAGGATGCTACAGTGTGCACAGCATGATGATTAGATCCTCATATGAATATTAACTGTTAATGTCAGAATGTACTTTGAAAGTGTTTTTCTGTAATTACTCTCATGGTTGCCTGTAATAAAAAAAAAGGAAAACAAATCTTTCACACACATTTCCTTTCCTTGGGCCATTGCCTTGACACAATGATTTGTACGGGTCCGCCTATCCCGGAGTGAAGCAGGAGAGAGGATGTTTACTGTAGCGAGTGCATTTGGCCTGGAAAAGAGGATCCCCCCTGCTGCGATGCCTCCAGTGGTGTGCACTCAGAGGGTGAGCGAATGAGGGAGGTAGAGACACTGCAGCCAAACTAAAGTAACGTCCTTGTGATCCTCACAAGACCCCTTCGTCTGTAATTAGAGAAAGGAACAGACAGCCTTGACATGTGCCGGTTATTGACAAATTTGCTCGCATTTAAAGAGAGTCACTGGCTTGTAATGAAGTGGGTTAAAAAAGGAAATTTATATCCGAGATAAAGGCTATCGCAATGCTTTTTATTACTCTACTTTGTTTGAGATCGGCTTTAATGAATGAGCGGAAATTAGAAGTCACAGAGACTCAGCTCAGAATACACCAGAATAACGTCAGGCTTTTAGAAAAATAGTTAAGTCAGTGATTACATGTCAGGTCTATCACCTTGAAGAATTATGCAGAGCTGTGACACAAGACGTTTTTCGATAATGAGTTAAACTTAAAGTGGCTGCTATCATCCACCACACGCTGAGAATTATCACAAAATCTCAGCACATGAAGTGCTTGATCTGAATCAGAGGCAGATTCAGATCAAGTCTGTCAGAATGTGTGGAAGTGTCTGATAAGCTGATGGAGGGCAGGTATAGCTACCAGACTGGCAACACCTCATACAAAGGTTTCCGTTGACATTCTAGGTCAATTTACATTCTATATGTAGCAAATGGGCCTCATCCAAGCATGCAATCCAAAGAAGTGATAGCATATCAAGTGAAATCGGGGCTACTTTTCAAAAATCTGAATACAGACGTGCTTTGAAATTTCTGCTTCCCCATTGGTGAGCCTTGGCCATTAAACTTCAACACCACTGTTGTTCGATATGCTCGTTATATGTTCACAGAATTCCTTCAGAGCTTATTTAATGTAGCCCACCTGCTCATAATATTCTCATAATAACCACATGTAAATTATCCAATGTGCCCCCAAACGCACGCTTGCTTATAAATTACACTAATCAGCCTAATGGAAGAGCTTTAGCTAATGGTTAGCATTGCCAGCGTTGCCATTACTGCTTCACAGCACATTTGATCATCAGATCTCATTTTATTGGTTGGGCCAAAAGTTGTCTACATCAGTTTAACTTGATGACAGAGCAAGCTCTCTCTTTTTTCAGCTTTATACTCCCAACCTGAACAATTAACAGTGCTATAACTACTTTTAACAGATGCTGAAAGGATCATTATCTTTTTTTTTTTTAAACACTTGACAGGATCCAGCTCTGTGGGGCCGGGGGAGCTTAGTCTGGAAGACTGAGCCTGGTGTTTTAAGTGGTTTTGTTTGTTTTGGGGAGAACAGGTCTGTGACAGTAAAGCACACCAGCAAGACTGATGGTTTGTTTGCCTTGTCTTATTTCTGCTTCGGGGACCAGTCTGATTCTCGCTTTCAGTGCTGAAGAGCTATACATTGTGCACACAGCGGGGGGGACGTACACCACCTGGACTCCCTGCGCTGAGCAGCACAGAAATGCCACGATGGCGCATCATCCCAGTTTGATGAGCAGCATTGTTTTTTTCCCAGCAAAACAGATGGGCTTTACTTTTAGATTCAAGTGGGATAAACAGGATGATTATAAAATACTTTATTGTGCTGTAATAATCTTTATATTTTACACCTGGCTACAGATACGCTCTTTAGTACCTGTCTTAGCTGTTGAAGGGAAATTTAAAAAAAGAAGCTTCAAACACTTCATCTCACACAACAGTGGAGTTAGACTTTTTAAAAGTACGACAACAAAGCCGCCATATGCTGTTAGAAAGCAGCATGCATTCCCACGACTCAGTGAGTCGTATTGTATTATATTGTACCTGCAATATAATGTACCCGCTGTGGCAACAGACAATAAAGAAATGCAAGGAGGAGTCTGTGTCAGTATGACACCTTTTCCCACCAGGTTTATTATCCCTGTCATGATTTATATATTGAAACCGAATGACATAAGACGTGGAAAAGCATCAATACTTACTGTACTGGGGTGTGACAGTGCGATAGCCAAATCATAGAAGGGAGCCTGCTTTACCTGAGTCATGGAAAGCACAGACACATGTAAAGCACACTTTCAAAAGGGTATTTGAATTGCAGTTTCCTGCTTTTCTATCAGCTTCAATTTACAGCCTGATCACTGTTATTTCAGTAAAAGTTCGCAAGTTAAGTTTCACTTATTCCTCAATGTGTGTAACTTAAATCATTTGGGTTGATCTGATTTGTTAACTTAAGAAGTCTAAATGCAGTTTTTCACTTTGAAAAACTGCACAGACACTAAATCACTCAGAAATGATTATTTTCATCACATATCTTCCCCTTTCTTGTTCTTCACTGATATCTCATGCTGGGGGTAGCTGTAGAAATGCAGGCTTTGTTCGTTTTTGACTCGCATTAACCTTTATTGGATGATTACAAACATATTCTAACAGAGAAATTGAAACTGGAACGAAGAGACAGGGAGGGACAGGTGCTAAGATGCTAAGAGAGAGACTCATTTGTCTGCTCGTGTTTACGGGTTAGCTGGGCTGACTGGAGCCCAGCTGTTGCTGATTAGTGGAGGGAATGTTTCTTATATGATAGAGAGAAAAGAGAAAAAAGATAATAGAAAGAACGGGCAAAGAAAAGAGGACAGAGAACTTGTGCGTGTTTGTGTGATAGATGAAACAGAATGATGGGAAGGAGAGCGAGCAGTATAGAGTGATAACTGCCCTGCTTCTGTTCCAACAGCAAAGGTGATCTGACAACACGAACCAGCTGAAAAATGAAACAGCAAATGGACCAGTCAGTAGTGAGAGATTCCCCCCCCCGTTCCAGCTACACCTGTTGTTGGGGAAGATAGGTGTATGCAGGAAAACAAAAGCATGTGCAGTTCCTCTCACGGTTCCACCTTGCAATGGTTTGTCAGTATCACTCTCTGACCGTCACTAAGGAATCCAATCAAGCCTGTTTGTCAAGCTGGATCATGATGGGGTGAGGTGGTGTAAATGTTTTTTTTTCTTTTAGGGAGAGGGGAGGGTCATTTGTTTGATGTATGTTTATAGTAAATTCCTTCCCCGCCAGCACTCTAATCTGTCGTTTACACAGCAGGAGGATGGATGTGCGATGGGGGTAATGGTGTGAGGTGAAGGAAAGGTTGCAAGATACAAAACCGAAACAGACGTCTGAGTGTGGAGTGCAGCCCTGTCTCTGCTGACCGCAGGAGGTCATGACCCCTGCTGTGCAGACTGCACAGGTTTATGGCTGTCTTTTGTCATTCTGCTATCTTTTTCCAGTGCTTTTAAATTCTTTGGTGTTTTCTTTTTTTGTTTTTTGGGGAGTGAAAAACCCCGACAGTCCTAGACTCTATAGCTTTATTCCTCTGCTATATAAACAGCCAAGACTTTCTTTCAAGCAGAGTATTGGCTTTTGGTGGACTGCAGAATAACAATTGGAGCATCCAGGGGAAATTCAGCTTTTGCGAATGTATTTTTGAAAACTTTCAACTTCCTATACTGTAAAAAAGTTTATATCTCTCTGTTTAAATCTGTTGATGATCCAACAGCACATTTAATTCATGCTCTTCAATAACAAAAGAGGATTAAACTCATTGAGAGAAACTAATCATGCTTCAAGCTATAAAGAGAACTGCTCCCTGTGCCCTCTGCACTGAGTGGCGCTCAGTCGTATGTGGATGGAGAAGATTCTTCTAGACTGATCAATAGTTCTTTCAGTAAGGTCCCTAAAGCAGGCCCTTCCACCCACCGCTCTCCTCTCCTGCACTACTTCTGATGTGTTTACTCTACAAACACTTACGATACTTCTTTAGCTGTGGATGGGTCAGATCTGAGCACTGCTGGTGTTTACAGAGGAACTTGACTTTTCAACCTACCTGCTATTCTTTTCTTTTCACCTCCACCTTGCCTCAGTTTAAACAATGCCCTTTCTTTCATTTCCCTCTTTACAAGAAATCAAATACAAGAACTGCTGCTTTCGAATACAACTTCGCCTCTTTTGTGACTCACGCGTGCACACAAAGAGAAAAATGAGCGTGAGACAACAGTGCAGGCGAGGCCAGTGCACTTCCATTGCACTCAAGTCCTAACCCCTTGATTTCCACCAGCTTTCAGTGCCCAGACTGAGTCTCGTTATTGTAACCTTGGAAACTCTCCTTCCCTCTCTCGTCCTTTGCATTTTCTCCTCTCTCATTTCGCTGATAGCTTTGACAAACTGTGCTGCCTGTGTTTTTCACTTTTCCTTTCTGGGCCTTCCACAACTGTGCTGTCCTTTTGATAAAGAGACAGAAGAAGAACACTAACTGGTCTGTTGAAACTTCGCCAGCATCCTTCCCTTACTCCACCGATCCTTTTCTCCATCTGTCCCACATCCCTCCATCCCCTGTCAGTGCTTTCTCATAGTGATGAAGCTCATTAGCGGGCTGTCTCTGTCAGATAGAATGGGGGGGAGGCAGGGGGCTCCCTCCTGTGTTTATATTTAGATACTGGGATACTGCAGGTATGATGTGGTGATTTTTAATGAGGTGCAGAGCAGAGCCTGGATGCTGTCAGTCACACATAGAGAAAGAGTGACTGAGAGAAAGCAAAGTAGCCACCTGGTGTAGTGGTAATCAGTTTTGTCTGTCATTTTCTGTTCCACTCATAAATTTACTACTCCTTCCTCATAACTGAATTGCAAAGACTGGACTTTTGTTTTTTCCCCCCCAAGAAACACCTGCGATGTTGTGGATACAGTTTGTGTGAGTCTCCTTTTGAAATGCAGTGCATATAAATGTGTGAAGTTCATGAATAGCATGAAAAAAGGTGGCGCTACAGCTAACCAGCACTCCAGCTTTTAGCAAACAGCTAACCATTAAAACTCCTCATCTTACTTAAATGCTACTACAAAAAGCTAAAGACTTTCAGCTTGGATTCACTCTTCTTCCCCGCTCAAGTTACATCTATTTACTCATCAATTAAGGTCTGAAAGAAACCCATCTGCTTAGAGTCAAGGGGAATGGAGAAATACCTGTCTGGCATCAAATGGACCTCTTTGCACCAGCTGCTAGAGAAGATGAGCCCGTTGGGAATGGCACGATCTGATATCCTCGTGTTGGTCACATTTATGTGACGTGATACTTTTGCGACTTCGGAAAAAAATGCTGTAAATAAAATCTACTTAACTTGCGAGAAACCGCCTCTGTCCGCCGATCCAGCAATTTGAATTCTTTGCATTTCAGATACTGCTCTTTAATAAACAATAAGCATTGTACATATTGTCCTTGCAACATTGGAATTTCATAAATGAATGAATGGCTTGGCTTGCAAAGGTATTACGTCACAACAAGCGATTGGTCACTTGCAATGTTGAACCTGGAACAACATTTATTGTGATGATGTGGGAACAACACCAACACGAGGATATCAGATGGGTGCTGCTGTTGGCACGGGAAGATACTGCTGGAATTGGGAGACAGTTGGGAGTTGAGTCTAATACAAGAGTCTGATCTAATTGCTTAGAGTTTGCATTCTGGGGTGTTATATGACACTGAGAACAGATGCCACCTTCATCTCTCTATACACACAATGTGTCCTTTGGTGTTGGTGTCTTGACACACTAGCCAAGGCAATCCATTTGTGGCACTGACATGCCATGAATTCCAAGTTAGAAGTCTGAAGAAGTGGCATTGGCAGAAGTCACAGTGTTGCCTAAGATCACTCGAGTGAAACCAGAAAGTATTACAGGCTTTGACAATGACGCTCATCAAACCACCATGCATGATTACGTCACCTGATAAAAACTGCATCAAATATGCAGAGCAAAGATGTGACGATAAAGTTAAAGAAGTTTTATTTTTCACAAACATGAAGGAATATTAGGAGTACATTTGAATGAGTGGAACTTTGTTCTTTGCTTACAAGAATTTATGTTTCTCTGTCTGTAAGATGCTGGCATTAAAAAATAGTTTTGGCCTTCGTAGTAGTTTATGATGCCTTTACTTATGTCTGTGTCTGTGAGTGAAATGTGGATCAAACAGTGCAGAATATTCCACGTATTTATCTTCAGAAACTCCTGAGCTGCTTTCAGAGTGTGAGATGAGAGATGAATGATGAGCCCTCTGCACTTCTGAATTCATTAGACCCGATTCTGCTGTCTGTGACCCAGTACCACTAAAAGCCATGTATGCCCATGCCATTATACTCCCTCTTCTGCCTTTTATACCATGTTTTTTGTTTATTACGTTCGGGAGCATGAGACATACCAAGCCTTTTTCCACCCTATTTTCATCCTGGCTTTCTGATAAGGGTTCTTTGGCTTTATATGCCCAAACAATGCTGTTCAAGGACTTGTCTGGCTTTTGAAGATATTTTTTTTGGCAATAATACATGGATAATAAAAGGAATAAAAGGCTGTCATCCCTGTATTGTACTGTTTAGTTCCAGGAAATCTCATTAAGTTTGACAATGCTTACTTAGTTTATAAAGTTCTAAAAACAATGGCTTTTATATTCTAGACAAAGGTTGGGTTGTACTACAGAGGAAAACATCTTTTTTTAATGTCTTACGGATGTTTTAGTATGACTTATCTGATCATGACAGACGGAAAAGCATTGCTGTTTTGCTGTCTCCCTCCTGAGTGTTCCAAACCAAAACTAATTTATAAATGCAAAAGTCAAAGTTTGTTAGAAATCACCTGGAAAGACAGATTAATTGTGATGTTTCTCCATCCCACAGAGCATTGTGGCCAAATATGCATCTCAGTTTCGTGGAAACTCTCAGCATGATGCCCTCGAGTTCCTCCTCTGGCTTTTAGATAGAGTTCATGAAGATGCCAATTCCAGCCCTGACAACAACAACAGCAGCACCCAGACCAAAGCCAATGCCAAGGTAAGTCTGCGTCACCGGTTTTTACTGATCCGCCTTGTCTGGTTTGAAATCACTGTTTGTTATTCAGGCCAGTTACTTCACTGTTAAAAAATAGAGTAAAAATTTTAAATACTTCAGAAACAGAAGTTTTAGTAAAATAATAACATAATCTCCTCTTGGGTCTTGGCCACTGTTTTCATTTTGTTAGTACCTTGGATCTCTTTGTGTAAAAAATGTATAAATTCAATACTAGTTATATTCAGTTATATTCATCACATTCAACTCCTTAGTTTTTACCATTACAGCCTTGATAAATTGAATAAATACATATCTGCAATGTTACGTGGTATTATAAATTATTAATATGCAAACCTGTATTTGTTTCTGAGTTTATTTAGTATTTGAGTTTTATTCAGATTTTTTTCCCAATGCTTCAAGTAACAAACAGCAGATTTTTGTATCCACTGAGCACTTGTAAAGTTCTTCAATTAAAAGAACATTTAAAGCCAATAACCACAAAAATATAGGATTAAACTGGCTCCAAGATCAGATACCTTCCTTTGGGCTGGAGCTTTATTAAAGCCAACGATCACCAACTTTCTGCTTAAGCTGGTTACCATAGCCCCAGTCACAGGTATGCTTTGCTGACTCTTGCAAGTTTGGAGTAGTGGGACAGCGCTGGATCTATTTTCATTGCTCACTCAAGTTGTTAAGATTTCTCAGACACCCCATTTCTCTGATCATTTCCAATTTTATTTTAAAAATTTGATATGACTGTTATGAGCTGTGATCAGCTTTAGTCCAAAGCTGAATCTTGGTCTCATTCGATTTCTTTTTAAACACACACAAAAGTGACAACTTTCTACAAATATACTTACACCTGACACTTCCAGGTTGCACTAAAATCCATCAAATTTGTTTTAACAGTGTGATCAAATTTAAATTGCAGAAGTGAATTTCACGAAAAACCCAAACAAACAAACAAACAAACAAACAAACAAAGCACTGTTAAATTATGCCAGTAAATGTATTTTGGGATGCAGTCTTGTGTTAATGTGGCAGTCTTAATCATGGTTTTCATTTTATTTAAGGAACATGGGTAAGAAAAGAAATATTTCTGGGGGAAATTTGTCTCTTCACCACAGACCTTAAATCTTCTCTGCTCCAAGTGGAGCTGAATCTGTGAAGGGTCAGAACGGTTTTGTTCTTTCAGCTGCAGTTGGTCTGAAATGAATCTTTGTGTGCAGTGACTGTTTTCTGAAGCTGCTGAAGTGGCAGTCATTCATTCCCACACTCTCCGTGTCCTTGTCTCTGTCTCTGATGTGGGATGCTCACCTTGCTACCGTGCATGTGGAGAATTAGAACTATCACACCAGAACTAGGTGTGATATGGTTAAAGGGAACAAATGGTAGACATGTCACATTTTATGGCAACTATAGTTTCTACTGCTACATTTTTTCTCGAGTCCCACTATTTTTTTTAAAAGATTATTGTTGACTGATACAAAATTAACTTAATGTTAAATGTTAAAGCAGTTTGAATTTAGGTGGTTTTATTTTCTGGCTGTTTAAAAGAAAATGAGGATATTTTTGAAAGAGTTTTGGCTGCTTTAGGCTAAAAACTGGTGTTAGGGTTTAGTTGGCATGGTTAATAATAGGAAAACGGGCTAGAAAATGCATCATGTCCATGAATGTCTTTACAAATATTTGTGTATTTTATGACACTGAATACTAAATGTGAAAACCTGCTGTGATCAGCACCCACTCTGACATCCCTCTTGTGTTTAATCACGTATGCTAAGTATCATCCTGTTTCTTCAGTTCATCTGGAGTTTGCCAACCATGCGGCCTCCGCTACAGGCCGCCAGCTGAGGACTTGGTAGTAAATGAATACTGTTACAAGCTTAACTGTTGCTGCACTGCCACCCAATGTCCAGCTCCCCCACTCTGACACCAGTGCTAATAGCGGCTGTCCTTTATGCAACATAAACAGCTTAGGACTGTAGCTCTCATTAGGCTGCCAGTGAATCATGGTATGATAAAGCCGCTTTCCTCCACTGTGGCAGTGAGGCAGAGATGAGGAAAATAACTGGCTTTTTTCACACGAGCCAGGAATTTCGATTTATTTTATTTTTACTTTACAAATGAAATACTCTTTCATTTTTCTACAAACTGATTTCATTCATGCAGCACTGTTGTAATTCAAAAACCTTATATGCATGTATGGTTTTACAATATTTGATTAAGTGGAGATTGTTTGGAAGAACTGAACATTTATTAAGATACAAAATTCAGTTAAGCTATTTGGCGATTAGACTCCTATGACTCATCATAGCAGACTGGAATCCAAGCAGTGACAGGAATTAAAACAGGACTTCCTGGAGTCTAGACACTGGTCCTGGTGAAGATGAAGAGAGATGTTTGGGTGGCACTCTGAGGGTCCAGGGTGAGGCAGAGATGGGTATGAGGTGGGTTGCATGAGAGTCTGAAAGGTAGAATGACAGAAGAGGACTGGGATTTTAAAGCACACAGCATGGAGGCTGATTGGCTCAGAGAAGGCTGGAAAGGAGATGATTAGACTACATAAATGATGATCAGTACTGAGTTTTGGAAAGTGGAAGGGATATAAAGGCAACCCATGAAAGCAGTCAGAAGAATGATTATATATCTCGCTTATTGAACAGAAGCATAAGCTTATTTAGTGATGAAATCTATGTTTGACAGTTGGATTAAAAATACATAAAAAATATTCAGTGAAGACACTCTTCAACTGCCCAGACTGTGGTTTTGTTTTCTTCTTTCATTCCATTATACTCAACTGCAAAGTAGCCTTTAATCAGATAGCAATCGGCTCTTACACACACTCCCCATCTTAGCTGTTTTAAACCTGTGGCTAATCTGTTTTTATCTCCTACTTACAGATTGGTTGAGACTTGAGTTTAGAAAACTAAGTTAAATAACAACAAAATCCATGGTGTGAAATTCACAACAATCCTTCCTGTGCATAACCTCATAGTAAGTGTTGTTCCACTTCCTTGTGTGGGTCCAGTCACACTGAATAGTCACATAACAAACATTTGATATCAATCAAAATGCTCATTCACAACTAAGGCCGCTTTTGTGCATCCACATTTTATTTTAGTTTAAATACTTAAGATTTTTAAGGTCCATGATCTTGCAGCTGATCTTTCAACTGATTGGTCAATCAGCTAATCATTTTAACTCTGGTTTATTTCCATCCTGTATTGCACAATACCTTTTTTTTTACTGGATATATACCATTTGTCAAACTTGCTGTCCCTCAGGTTGTTTAATGTATCAGAGGCCTGTTTGGTTAAGCTTACTTTAACAACAGCACGCATACTTAATATTTATTTTACCTCCTCTTGAGAGCAGTTCTTTACATTACAGGAGCTACACCCTCTACAAGCTGTACCTGCCTCTTTAATGAATTTTTTTGACAACCTTGTGATGTTCCACATTTTTCCTGTCTCGTCTTTATTCTTGTCATCATCTGTCCTCTAGAGATGTGTTGAAGTGTTCAGGGGGAAAAAATGATTTCCTCTTAAAACATGAATATACTCAAGTTTGTTTTTCACCTATTGCTTTGCTGAAGGCCTTACACCGATTATCAGGAAAACACAAAGATGTTGTATTATGTACTGGATGCAAGATGTGAAACACTGTTTCGCTCATATTTTCAAGGTTTGCGATAGTTTTTGGGAAAAAACTGTGAAAACCATCGATTTCTTTATATTTTGCTGCGGAAATGGAAAATATGTCCGGTGAGTTAAAACATGCAGAAATACAGTATTCAGGGCAAATACAGAGTTTGCACAGTTCTGATGAGTTTAAATGTTCTTCATCACAGTCTGGACTCAATGCATTGTTGCTAATTTCACTTTAAAAACATTAGAATAAGGTTTGATTGGAATCAAAATATAAAACACTCAAAGATGGCTCTAGAGTTTTCCACAATATTGGATGCCTGCATGTCCACAGTCAAAATATCGCCTGAGGTTTGTTAGTGACATATTCTATGAACTGCAAATCTGTTTAATTGAATGTTCACACAGTATGGGGATAACTGTATATTTATTCATTGATTTCAGGCCTGTGTCTTTGGAGCTGCTGTGATGTCCTTGCTCTATGCTGTCTATCTTATTTTACACATTCTAGTATAGGTTTTAGATCCCCTGAGAGCCTGGTCACAATAAGCAGTTTACTGAATAGATGAATGGGTTATTGATTTATGAGACCTCCCGCTAGAGACAGCTGGTCTTTCTCAGTCTGTTTGAACAGACTCACATATACAGCGTGGCAAAACCAAGGTAAAAAGGTTAGAGCAGAAAAGTACAATACAAGTTTCAGCCCTTAAAGTTAAATAAAAGAAGTTAAAGTATTCTGACGCAGTATTGTAAAAACCAAGCTGGTTTCATAAAGCTAGAGTTTACTCCAAAAGCTATTGTTTTTTTGTTTGCTTAATATAATGGTAATGTGATATGGAGTATAAGCTTACACACAATGCAGTGCATTATATCGATAACCTTACAAATAATGGACTTGCTGTAGTGTGTAGAAGGGTCAAATGGCTTCAGAGACTTTGTTTCTGGAGCTCACCTGCTGTATAAGCGGTGTGACCAGTCCAGCAACTCTGCTCAAGTAGCATTACGTAAACATTACTGTGAACACACTGGAATGCAGCTCAGTAATGTTAATCCACCCTTCAATGGGACCTCACTAAACTTGCTTGGTTTCCTTCTCACTTCACTGGCTCCACATCAACAGCATTCCTTACCAGCTACCAGAAGACCAAAGTGAAGACGTGGTTATGTGCAGTCAAACAGTTGCTACTTGAGTATATAAAAAGAAAATCAAGAAGTGAAAAGATAAGATTAGTATAGTCTCCACTGACTCTTACACTGGCAGCCGTTGTCTTCCAGCAAGTGTTAGGAAAGCTAGAGAAACGGCTTTAGCTACAAGTGTGGGCTATTTTTATTGACTCGCTGGTTGCCACTGAA